CATTCTGACTAATAACCTACTCATAAATGTAATATTCAGAGGATGCATACCAAAACAAGACCCTGTTTTCTGTCATACTAAATATGTACTCATAAAATCTAATTCAGTTTCATTCAATATAACAAATGAAATAAATTTTATGCAAATCACAATACATATTTCACACGAGATTACTAATAACAGTGCAAGAATAACTTCACACACGCACATTCTCCTTCACTACACACCCACTATTCTTTTATGAACTTCCTTTCTTTAAATCAATAAATGTACGTCATGGTGTATTCATCCTTCAAACATACTTCAGTTTCATCTTTCAGAGGGAAAACACTTCGACTTCGTTGTGGAAGAGGGGAAAAACATTCTTGAAAAATTCGGTGCACTATCCATTACTTGGTTCAGGTTCATACGCACATTAAAGCATACCCTTTGCGCTATCTCACTGAATCTTTTAAAATATACTTTCAGGCAGTTAATTAATAAGAACTTGTATAAATATGTATATGAACATACACACATAACACCCTTTAATTATTTATAAATACCTCTCCATACGTAGTAAGAAACATACTTTCATTTCGTACACCGGATATTTAGGTCACAGCGACAGGGCAGCCAACCTCTTAACATGACTGAAACAGAAACATTCCATTATCAGTTCCATTACAGGACGGTAATTTTCACCCTATTCTTTAAATATTTTCGTGTTATATTATTATTCTACTTCCTATCCAGAAAGGAAAATTCGGGCGAAACAAATGCCGAGCAGTCACCGAATTGGTCGCCAATACATCCACGAGGAGGGAACAATTCCACTTATAATAAATATATTACGTCATAGCGTTATGCCATCGGAGGGCAACATAATGCCATAATATGTGATATTCGGTAATCATTTCTATCACCGTGGGGGATCCGCAAACTCGTAAGGTGGAAGCGACATTTTCGACACAATCTATGCTCTTGCGTAGCAATATAACCTCGAAATATGAGAGCATAGATCAATATTATGGGTGGAAAGACAGTCAACACGCTCAATCTTATATCTAAAATCATATTTCGATCTATATTCCATGTTACGACAATCCTATATTACGTTCCGTTAAATAGCATCTTCCTAAATGACGTCACACTTAGGTGTGCGCAATCAACTACTGCGCATCGGTCTCTATCCAGGGGTCTGGCCCTTGGGTACCATTCACTGATGTTAGGTTAGGTTAGGTTTGCGCAGAAGACTACTGCGCAAACATCTGTATCTTGGATGGGACGAAGCTCGGTGATTTACACTAATGTTATCTTGTGAGTGTACGTTATGACAGGTGTGCGCAAATTACTACTGCGCATCGATATGCTCGGTTAGCACGGTTTGGCCGTTGGCAATATATTACGATTGAATGTCTCTGATAGTGTATGAATTCATTATATATTTATACGGGGCATCTTATTTCCGAATCTTCTCACATGATAAACTCTTGCATATATTTTTCTGTTAAACTCTCTACGTAATCTATGACACCTGGAATATACTACGTTATATATAACTGCCTTAATGAACTTTTTCCAAAATATTGATATTTCACAACGCCCTAAAGTGAAGGATATCACAACTATCTTCATTGAATCTTATAATTTCCAACAGGTCCCAAAATATTATCATTTCGATTGTCCCATTATTAATTTTATCATGTTTTTCGACAAATTTGAAGGACACACATATACTTTATATCACAGGTATCCACCCCACAATATTACTGCTCAAATATTATAGAGGGAAATCACTCATTACGATATGAATATTAGAAAATAACCTCCA